AAGACAAATCCACTTCTTTCAGAATAATAAAAATGATAAATTAGTATTTTAACAGCACAGAAAAGCTTGCTAAAAAGGGTGTTACGTTCTGGCAATATATCAGAAATATATGTACATAAACCACTGATTTTAAGATTTTTTTTTTTTTTTACAGCCATTTTCCATGGAATTGGTTATTCTGCGAGTAAGTATACTTGCTGAACAAACAGCACACACATGTTGGACTAAGACCAGAATAAACTATTAGACCTCAGTATGAATTAACTTGGGAACCAAACAAATTACGCTTAGCAACGAGTCGTCATTACACTGCACAACACACCAGCAACTATAAAACTTTGTGCATACCAGAGAGTACTTGACCATCACCGCGGACGTTTAAGTGTCACAGCCTATTCGACTGCGTTCTTCTACTCCACCTACTACCTGAATTATTTTCATGCTCAAAGGATTTTGGGAAGCAACAGGCAAAACACAGTTATGACTGCAGCACTACCTACTTCGGAAAAAAAAGTATTTAGAAAAATGTCAGAGGTAGCCCATAATAAGCTACCTAACTTCAAAGCTTCCCTAACTTCCTTTTTTCCCTGTCTTGAGTCACTGTTGTCACTTCAGAGACATCTCATCATAAAAACAGCTTGCTCTGAAATATGAGAACTTTGTTTCTTCCCTGCAGTAGCCTTAGATGAACTATACAGAGATGTTTGAATCAGCTATCAGGTTTCAGCATGAACACGCAAGTCTGTAGCTCTGATTCAGAGTATAAAATGAAGAGGCTAAAAAAAAATTGTAGTTTCTTACAGAACTTTCACTTTAAACACCAAGTTTTAAACAGCTGAGATACAAAGTTATGTTCTTCATCAGTCCAAAAATCATTTTCAAGGGAAGGTTAAAACTCAGAGCAAGTAAATTTAATTGAAGCTCAACGTACACAGAATTACATAACTGCAATACAAGCCAAGAGTGGAAAAACAGAAATTGTTTCTTCAAAACAGCGGTTGAAATATTGCCTGATACAAATAAATTAATACTGGTAACGTGATTTCTAGAAGAAAATGCAGCTGAAAAACTCCACTAAATTTTGTTAGGTGTTATAAATTTGATACAAGCATTCTACTTTAGAGGAAGAACAAAACTAATTATCAACTATCAGAATACTCTGGCATTACTAGATTTGGCAAGTATACACCAATACACCATCACCGCTGTTCTGCAGACAACCCTTCTGTCAACATGATATGCAAAAGTCCTCTCAATAAAATTAAATGCGTATGTTCAGATTTTGAAATGAAAATCAAATTATATTTAACTTCGTCCAGCAATGGAGTCTTTAAAGGCAAGAGTGATGTATCTGTTTATCGCCTAGCAAGGTAAGATGCGACATACAATGTACTTGCAAGTCACAAGACTCGATGCAAGGCTAAGTTTTTGAGAATAATTATTCCTCCCCCCCAGTTTTGAGAATTTTCTCTACCTCTCTGGGCGGTTATGAGCAGGACAGGGAAGGAAAGCCCCGAAACACTTTGTAAGTCGGAGCAACGAGCTGCCCAGGGCTTAACGCTGAACTATCGGAAACGCACAGTAGGCCCCAAGCTCGGCGCCCCCGCACAGCCCTGACGGGAGCTACC